GACGAGTAATAACCTGACGGACGGCAAACCACTTTAAAACATCATTGTTGGAATCTGTGTCTATCGGAAAATGGGTTAATCATCGAAATCGATGGACAAAACGATAGACAAAGGAGACAAAGGGTAAATAAAGCGATTCTATTGGTGGACACGGGTGGTTGGAACGGACAAAGAGGGTGAATAATGAACTATCTTACTGAAAACCACTTTCGTCTGTCATTATTATTCTATGTCTATCGGAAAATGGGCTACTCATTGAAATTTATGAACAAAACGATAGACAAAGGAAACAAAGGGAAAATAGAACGATTCTATTAGTTGGAAGTGGTCGACTGTTTCAATTCAAGTACACCGTTAAATGATGCAGTGTGTTTCGTACCTTATATTGATGAAAAATGTCAGATTCGTAACAAAATGGCGTTGAAAAATTTTTTGGGCCGACGAATTTGCGACCGAAGTATTTTTCATTTCACCATCCATGTTATTCCTCAATATAAACATAAAACTCGATTTTGGAGACTCAGTTGCCTCAGCTATGTTTAGTTAGTTAGTTACTATAATTTTAAGACATTCAGCGTCTCAGGCTATTAACGTCTTTACATATAATTTTGAAAATGGGAGTATGAACGAAAATTTAGATTTTTAAATTAAGAGAGGTGAAGAGTTTTAGAATTTTGGTGGTAATATTGGGTTCATCGCATGTAAGAGGGTTTGTATTTCTGTTGATTGTAGGGGAGTAAATCGTGCCTCTAGGAAGAACATGCATGTATTTCGATGACTCCGAAAAAAACTCCGTGTACGATGATTGTTTCCAGCAAGTAGCCTTTGAACAGTTACTCTCTGTATCTTCCCCCACCCATTCAAAAGTCATATTTAGACCGAGGCGAAAGACACCATTATTATATTTTCATTCACACTGCTCGCCGAGAACCCCTCGCTCGCATGGAATCCGGATGTGTAATCAAGAAATTTATCTGCTGGCAGCATCGCTGTCTATTTGGGTAGCAACTTTTATATTTGCATAACTTCTCGACTAACGAATTAGAATCGCCAGGGGGGGATGTTCAGCTTCGGTGCCCGAACCCAACTTTCCGATGCGCCTAAAGTTTTCTACCCTGAAGACTTTAAAAGCCTCCCCTCCTACCGCGAACACGAACCGAGCAAAAAGGAAGGAAAAATTGCTGTTGCCGGGGCAAATTGGAATCTTTCGAACGATGCCAAGTTGACGACTTAATACATACATAAAGCCTCTTTTATATCGCCGCTTCGCGCTCTGCGACGCCCAATCGCCATTGCTCCCTATCCTCCCAGAGATCATCAGGCAATTGGCACCTTCTGATCTCCTCCACCACCCCTTGTCGCCAACCTTTCACAGGACGTCCACGCCGTCGCCTTCCGGGAGGAACCCAATCGAAGACCTGCTTGGGCAACCGATCATCTGCCATCCTTCGCACATGTCCATACCAGACCAACTGCTTGGACCTGATATCGTGCACGATGTCCTTCTCTACACCCATTATCTCGCGTACCTTCTCATTGTGGATGCGCTCTCTTCTCGATATCCCAGCAGACCTTCGCCAAAAGTCCATTTCAGTTGCCCTAAGCATGTCTTCAGTTCTTTTCTTGAGTTGCCAGTTCACACTCCCGTAAGTTACGATACTCTTCACGATGAAGTTGTAAATTTTCCTTTTGGTCTCCTTGGAGATGCTCTGGTCCCAGAGAACCCCATTTAGCATCGCGATAGCTTAACGCTGACAACTTAATGCTGGATCTAAAAAAAACGGAAATCGAGAGAGGTTACTCTGAAATCAGATGAACGGGTGTCTAATTTTTACGGACTTGTGATATTGATTTTTCTATCTCTGTCTCTATACGTCTGGATTGTCGGATCCAGCGAATTGGCAACATTGTTTTTTCTCCATTCAAACCTATGGAAATGTATCGATTCTCGCAGGGGGAAATTGCTTCGACACGAATCGATTATTCATCACAGGTTTAAATGGAGGAAAGCCGGTGATGCCAAATCGCTGGATTAGCTTCTGTTTTGACTTGAAAGATGTATCGACATGATGCGAAACAAAATAACAAGAGCTATGTAATTTTCGTCGCTCCTCTGACGTAAGGGCGTATCTCAATTTCAGCGTGATCCCTGTTCTCCGTATTAGAACATGCTCTACGGGGCTCATGTGAAAATAGAGATACGCCCTTACACTGGAAAAAAACACATTGGATCTAGAGTCCAGACTCTTGAAAACATTGACAAGAAAAAATACTCTTGATTCAATCAGATTTAAGCTTAAATCAAAAGGAAATCCACTCAAATTAAGAGGCTTGGTACTTGATTTAAGCTTAAATCTGATTGAATCAAGAGTATTTTTTCTTGTCGATATTTTTAAGAGTATGGACTCTAGACCCAATGTGTTTTTTTCCAGTATACGTCAGAGGGGACGTCAGACGTTTTTTGCTGGGACCAAAAAATCAAGTTCCTCTGAAATGACTGATCGCCAAGACATGACTGACCAAAACCTGAAAATTGATATTTTTGCACCGAACTGGATTATTTGTTGCAAGAAAAATTTGAGTTTCCACGTTCAGGCAAATTTTGTCTGTCTCCGTGAAATTTGATGATACAGACAAGAAGGACCCGAGGAGGGACTAAAATACTCTGCCGTGCTAAAGAAAAACGCCTTACGAGCCACCAAGCGTTGCCACATTTCCTTCGACAAATCACGAATTTTCATGAAAATGTATAAAGTCTGAACATTTCAAGGAAATGTACTCGTAACTTTCTTCAAAAATATTTTCCGAGAGGAAATTCGGCAACATTCGAATGCTCAAACGGTGTTTTTCCTCAGCACCGCAACACTCCGATTTTTCTCTTTCGAATCAACGCAACTCGGGATACGGACAGCGAATTTCCTGGATCCGATCTTGGCTCGGCAATGATTGCTCGGACGGGAATAATTATTTCATAGCCGCTGGACCGGTGCCCGATACCGGACCTTCGACAATGTTGCCGCGAATCACGCATAAATATCACGGCGTACAGTGGATGGAGTCAATGGGAGAGGTCGAACAAAATTTGAAAACTTTAAAAGCTTATAACTCCGTCCAAACAAAACTTTCAGGTTTTAAAAGTTGTTTCATTAGTTTCCTCCAGAGGCGGATACAGCAATTTGGTAACACTGGATTTTCTTCATTTAAACTCATGCTAACTAATCGATTCTTGGCGGAGCACCTGGTCCCTCCAAGAATCGATACATTTCCATCGGTTTAAATGGAGGAAATCCGGCGTTGCCAATTTGTTAGACCCGCCAATGGTTTCCCTGTGAAATTGTCTTTTGGAATCACCCCTTAAAATTTAAAATGAGACGAATTAAACATCAAAATTTGCAGTTTTGGTTCAAAATTTCATGTCCGACCTCTCTGATCGACTTGATCCACTGTGCGGCGTCCTGTGAAAGAATACCAATAATGGAAAACTCGGCAACGCTGCTCAGATCACGACGGGCAGGACTATTCAAACGAGCTCGGTGGAGTAATTGGTGCGAAAAATATTTAATATCAGTGGCGAGGCTCAATGATCGATTTTCGATATTTTCCCATTTGAAGCTATGTTAAAGAATCGATTATGAAGGTGTCTGTTCCGAAAACCCTGCATATCGATCCTTTTCCGTAGATTTAAATGGAAGATCGATCGATACGTCGCAAATCACGCCACTGTTTATGCGGTCCGACGCTTCGACTTGCGGATCGCTCGCCTGAGGGTCTCGTCGTCGATGAAACCTCGAGTTTCTCGCCAACTTTCAACTTGCTCGGTTAATCACGACCATTCGAGAGCGCATTCCCAAGTATAAACTTTGGAATTTTTTTTTATATTAAAAAAAACAGTTTCTGGCTTTCACGCAAAAGCACCAATCTGCATCGGGAAACAAAAGGAAATGCGGACTCATTGGACGTGTACTACACCCATTGTGAGGTTGAGCCCTGCCATGAATGATCCTTATGGATCTCAGGGGCCATGTCTGAATGGATACATAATACGTAGTTCCTTTTGATTTATATATTCCAATTGGTTGCTATTACATTTTGCAATGGGAAATGACAAATTCTGGCTTATGTCTGAAAGCACCTCGAGCACATTCTGGTACATCTCTTCACGGATTACACAAATTATTCCTTTCAAATTTATAAATTTTTGGTGAGAAGAGAAGACTATTTGCTATTCTGGGAGACTATCTTAGATAATTATGAAGAGGCAACATTTTTACAGCACTGTTGGGATTATTAGTCAAATTATTAGATAAACTCCTGCTGTAACTAAAGTGGAAGAGTGAACAAGAGCTGAAACTGGGGTAGGTGCTGCTATGGCCTCTGTTAATCAGGATGAAAATGGGATCTGTGCTCTTTTAAAAAACATACTGACTGTTATCAAATTAATCCAAAAATTTGCAATTAAAAGCAATTGGATATAATCTGTATAACCACTGTATAATCTTACTGTATAATCACTGTCCTCCTAATGTGGGGAGGGAGGACAGTGCTTATACTATATTAAAATACCCTTTCAAGGGGTTGCCCTATATAATAAGGATATCAAAAATTTACACCTTTTTTTAAAAACAAAATAAAAGATTAAATTGTATAAAGACTTACAGGGGTAAGTCTAGAATTTAAATATTCTATCGATAAAAATATTCATGAAGTTGAGTTTATTAAAATTATTATTGCTATTAATAAAGTAATGTCTCCAATCCGGTTCATTATCATTCTGTATATCCTTCTTATTATAGATTTTTTGTTTTGGTAATATATGATTAGTACAAAGAAAGTTATCCCTAACCATTTTCATCCTATTACTAAGGATACTATGTTTGGTCTCACGCTGGTCACTTTTTGCTAAATGCCATGATTCGATTCATCTCATCAAATTCATAGAAATAATGTGGAACTTGGTTGATTTTTCCACATTTTCTGAGAGAGGGTAGTCGGGTGCTCACCTGTAAGCCTCGCAGAATATCCTCCGCGCCCAAGACTCATTGAAATTGCCTAAAATAATCCGCACGTCTTTCTCTTGGAGCTTCCGGATGGCCGTCCCGACCTCCGTCGCAAAGCTCTGCGTCTCAATCACCGTGAAATTCATTCTGTTGTTCTTATCCAACTCCGCCACCAGCTTATTGTGCGCCTGAAACAGAGAAAATCAACCTTCCATTAAAAAAACAGGTTTAGTCAAAGTACCTAGATTAGACATTTCATGAACCTACACTGGAAAAAACACATTGTGTTAGGACTTAGTGAGTTTTTGGACTCCCAAATAAGACAGAAATATTTAGCCAATATTTAAACAATATTGTTTTGATATTAAAGCAAACATAGGGCCAATATTGGTTAAATATTGAGCCAATGGTAAAAGTGTACACCATATTTCCTTTTGACATAAATACTGTGGCAATACTTTAAAATACTGTGAAATACTGTGCCAATACTAGGAAAATATTTTTACAATATTTCGGGTAAACATATTATTTTTAAAAACACTAAATAAAGATTCTTTAAATATTTGTTTAAAAAATAATTTGCATTAAAATATTATCAAAATATTGTCAGTATTGTGTGAATATTGCGACAGTACTGAAAATATTTGCCCGATATTGTAAAAAGATTATGACTTATCTGGGATACCGCTCTCTTTTAGTGGGGTAGTATCTTGACTTATTTTGCGAGGAAAGCTCCGTTCCGTACTCATAAAAGATGCCTGTCATTCTTAATATGTTGGATCGCCCTCAATTTCGTATGATGCTGCACAACACCTCTGTCGTGAAATATATGTAGTTGCTTGAAGCGCCGCGCCGAGGCATGCTGCCGCGCGAGGCGGGGAGCAGGCGGCCGACCAGCGCGGAACGCGCATTGGCGCCTACAAACCTAAGGGGATACTTCAAGCACTACGCAATGCGTGACGTATCCCCTTAAGTTTGTAGGCGCCAATGCGCGTTCCGCGCTGGCCGGCCGCCGCTGTATGCTCTCTGTTAGGCTCTAATATTTAAGTTCGCGGAGACAGCGTTACTCAATTCATGATTATGAAATGTTTCTACACTCTCCACGGATGTTTCTCATATAAATTGATGGAAAAAAATGTATTAAAGGAAAATATAGTGTGTGGTGGAAAATATAACTCGAGGTAAATATTAGAGTAACTAACGGCAACCCACCGAGGATCCTGTAGCCATCATTTCCCCTCTTAGTCTAGAAGAGCCACCCGATTTAACCAAACGAAGGGGGCAATGATGGACTAACTTTATGATCTCTCTAATGTTGTCGTTATTCTATCTATTACTTACTTCCTCAATCCTTTACATCTACCCGACCAATAGGATTGGTCCATTTTACTTGTGTCTTTTTTGTCTAGCGCTTTGGGTATCAGTATCAGTAATCAACCCACTATAGCTCTTTGTGGTCACCCTCATTTAATTTATGTGGTGTGCCCATTCAAGGCGTTTCCAGCGTCGTTTCCCCTGGGTACTATCTCACAATCAGTGATTCTAATCCATGCTCTCATTTCGTTCATTTTTAAGTCCACTTTTTACACAATTAATTCAATTTCTGCGTCTTATTTTTTCAATTTCGATTAAAATATAATTTTATTTCTATCAATTTCTGTGTAAAAGCTGTTTTTAATAAAAGGCGTTTAGAAAGCAAAAAAAAAGGGGGAAAAATTATGTGGTATCTGTATCAGGAAATCAGAAAACAACATCAAAAACGTTGGGAAGGGGAGAAAGGGATGTAAAAAAAAAACCCGCGAAACAATCCTTTACCCGATTCCCTGCTAATTCATTAACCGCTCTCCAGAGGTGACCTCGGAAGGAGCATGCAAACTCGACATGAGTTATAGGCATGATAGCAACATTAAAAATAGATTAAAAGTAATCATTTCAGCCTTTATTTTCACACGTGATATCTGATGAGCTTTCAAGGGCCGTTTACATTTTAATGAGGCACCGCTACGGGAGCAAAGGGCGGGAGGGGGGGGGGCGGGATTAAAAATAACCCGAAACAACGACGGTGGATATTTAAGACTCGGAAAGGGATTTCCCTCGCTTGCCCACAGTCGTTTGGGTAACAATTGTCAAATCGCTACGGAAATATAGCATTGGCGGATACAGGAAATTGGCAACATAGTTTTCTCTCCATTTAAACCCATGGAAATGTATCGATTTTTGGAGGGGCCTGGTGCTCCGACCAGAATCAATTTTTTAACATAAGTTTAAACTCCGCGGTTCTGCATTGATTTAAGAGTGTACTGCTAATCTGCGCCAATATCTCTATTCTGGTGACATTATTGGTTGTACCTCTTCAATCAGGAACGCATTTGCCAAAACTAGAGTGCCTACATAGGGAGAGCACGCATACCTAGAAATATGGAGTTTTTAGGGCCCAAGAGGGCAGCCAACCTTCAAATACGAAATATGTCACTGCTAATCTTCAGATTCCAATGTCAAACCAACATGGCCAAGAATATTCATGAATGAGTATTCTTGCGCAAAATTGAGTAAAATGCAAAAACTAAGTCAAATACGGGCTTTAAAACCACAGGTCGTAACAATTGTCATAGTAAGCCAATATAGATAATTAGAATTTATGGGTTCGCTGCACTTCTGGGCCCTAAAAGCTCCATGGCCTAATCTCAAAATTACTGACATGTTCTTACTCTCTCCATACAGGTGAGTACTTCAGCAAAAACCTGGCAATGAAGAGGTGATACAGATATGCGGATCTCGTCACCTTCCGGCCAAAGTATCACAAGTGTCATGAGATATTTCAAAATTTCCGACTTCACTTTTTTTTTACAGAGAAATTGTTGGTCGTCACCTTCCGCCCAAAGTATCACGAGTGCCATGCAACGTTTCAAACTTTCCGCCGCCATTTTATTTTTTACAGAGCAATTGTTAATTGATTCAAATCTGTTCAGAAAACAGATCGTCACCTTCCAGGCAAAGTATCACAAGCGCCATGCGACGTTTAAAAATTTCCGCCGCCATTATATTTTTTTACAGAGAAATTGTTCAACGAAGCTGTTCGAAAATTTCACTGAATTTTCTTTGTGCTGCCGATAAAATTTAGTGAAATTTCCAAACAGATTCAACCAACAATTTCTCAGTAAAAAAATAAAATGGCGGCGGAAATTTTTAGACGTTGCATGCCGCTTGTGATACTTTGCCTGGAAGGTGACGAGATGTGCTCAGAAACTGTGTCAAAGAACAGATTCAAATCTGTTCGAAAATTTTACTGAATTTTATCGGCAGCACAAAAAAAAAAATCAATGAAATTATCGGACAGCTTCGTTGACCAATTTTTCTGTAAAAAAAAATGGCGGCGGAAATTTTGAAACGTCGCATGACGGTTTGTGGCCGGAAGGTGCGGATCTCTCGACGCAAGATTCAAGCTTCTCGGAATTGCGGAAACTTGTTTTGATATTTCGCAACATCCGCGACAACACTCGAGCTAGAGCGGAACCGAATGATAAAAAAACACAACTAAAACGCGGTGCGAGGTTAAACGAGTTTTAAATTCTTGGCAAAAGAGTAGGAGGGTCTCTTAATTTATTTACTTCCAACGGAAGACAAAAGCCTGTCAAGTCCCGAGTCAGACCGAGTTTAACTCAATTATATTCCATTATTTATACGAGCTGAGGGTTGCCATGTCGAGAAGCCCCGCGAATTTGGCTCTGTGTTTCAAAAGGGAGTTCGATCTTTGAACAGAACATTTGGTGCTCCACAGAAATTTCAACCTTTCGGTTTGTCGAATCCCAATGCGTCAGTTGCGCTGGTCACAGAATCGTGTTCTGATATTTTATTCTTGCAGATCAACTAAAAATAAAAAGATCTGTCCAAACAGCAACTTCCTACGTTTAATATTAACCGAGATATCGCCCCTTGAAAAATCGGGTTTTTGACATCATTCACCGCGGTACTGACACCCATGGTTTCTTCCACCTTGCTTTCTGCAGTCAGTGTGACGCACATTTGCACGGGTTACTCAACGTGAAATTCGGATGAAAGCAAGGTGGAGGAAACCGCGTGTGTCACTACTGCGGTGAATGACGTCAAAAACGTGATTTTCCAAAGGGCCATCTCGGTTAATATTGAACGCAAGGAGTTGCTGTTTGGACATATCTTGTTATTTTTAGCTGATCAAGCATCAAAAAACAATTCTTTGACTAGCGCAACTGGCTCATTCAACATATGTATGGATCAGTGTTCGAAACTCACCTTTGAGTTCTAGGAGCCATGCGTGGCGCATCAAACTCGATTTTTAGGGGCCGAATTGACATTTTATACATCACGCCGCATTTAGTGTAAAGTTAGACGCAAGATGTTTTAGTCCAGGTTTGTCCAGGCAGTAATGATTTCTCAACATCGAGACAAACTAGTAAAAATAAATCATCTTTCGAGCGCAAAAATCTCGTGATACCACTATTCAAGCTTCGGTGTGTTGCGGAGTGTCATCGTTATTTGAAGGCGCTTCGAAAAAAAGGGAAGATTCTAATACTCTTATGGCGTTTTCCTCATCACGGCAGCAATACGAAATTGACATTTATCATAATGCTTACAATCATACCTTGTCTCAAGGAGAAGATACCTTGTTCTCGTGGAGAAAAGAGAGAGTAGAACGAATCGTCATTCTAAAAATGCTTGTTATTAATTTTAGGTTCAATCGACATTCTGAGTCGTGGTTACAATGTTTCTTTCGAGGTTTCAATTACCTCAGCCCCGTTAAAAAACCTGCGTTGGTCCGAGACTACAAAAATCGTCCTTTGAGGACGAAATCGTCCGTTTAATTTTCGTCCTCGGAGGGTAATTTTTGGTCCTCGAAGAAAATTTTTACCCTCAGGAGATTATTTGGATTACATTTTGCAATAAGGAACCACTATTTCTGGCTCATTTTAGAAACAACATATATGTCATTGATTTCCCAATGTAGATACGTGCTTTTATGGAAGAGCCAGAGATAGTGGTTCCTTATTGCAAAATGTAATCCATTTATTTTGACTAGTTTGTCCCGATGTTGCGAAATAATTATCGCCTGGTAACATATTTCCAATATTTCCCCACTCCAGAACGGTTTGCCTCGTCTTCCGTATGCAACGTACCCATTTTTTCGAGCTATCATTCACGACTTTATTCGACGGATTCCCGGCGGAGCGGGAGTTCAATCATCTTGGCGGCCCTCGAAAATCGATTCATCTCAAATCCCGGCGGAACGCGGCGTTATCGCGGGGGACGGCCCGCTCATTTTTAGGTCACCGGTATGAATATTACTTCCTTGATTAATCGCTCTTTGAAACGTGACCTCGTTCATAAAACTCCTTTACGATCCCGCTTGACCAGTTCAACTTCCCCGAGAAAAACGTTGCCACTCTGCCGCGATAGCGAAGAGAGCAGTAAGTGCAAAAATGAAGTTTTGATAAAACGTGCTCAGAGGCGTCTGAACGAAAAAATGTATTGCAAGAAGCCTCCGGTCATAGATGGAGACAACACAAAACCCCTTCAATTGGGAATGATACTGTGCAATACGCGGAAGCTCGAATAGTTGTATCGCGCTCTTGTCGCTCTTTCATATCCGATCTTCCCATTTCATATCATTCATGTCCACAAAACCCCTTCAATTGGGAATGATACTGTGCAATACGCGGAGGCTCGAATAGTTGTATCGCGCTCTTGTCGCTCTTTCATATCCGATCTTCCCATTCCATATCATTCATGCTCACAAAACCCTTCAATTGGGAATGATACCGTGCAATACACGGAAGCTCGAATAGTTGTATCGCGCTCTTGTCGCTCTTTCATTTCCGATCTTCCCATTTCATATCCTCCTCGAGGACACTGCCGTGATAGCGGAAAGAGTAGTATGTGCAAAAATGAAGTTTTGAGAAAACGGGCTCAGAATCGTCGGACCGGAAAATTTTATTCAAAGAGGCTCCGATCACAGATGGAGAAAATACAAAACGCCTTCAATTGGGAATGATGCTGTGCAATACACGGAAGCTCGAATAGTTGTATCACCCTTTCATTTGTGGTACTCCCATTTCATATCCTCCTTGAGGATACTGTCATGATAGTGAGGATAGCAGTAAGTGCAAAAAATGAAGTTTTGAGAAAACGGGCTCAGAGTGGTCGGACCGGAAAATTTTATTGAAAGAAGCCTCCGTGCTTGCTTTCGTGGTTGAATTTTGGAAACATATCAAATACATTTTCAGGTTAAAATCGGCCGAAGAGGGCGGAACTTTACTTGAAAGCACTGATTTCATTGGCTCTCTGGAGGAATAATGTCACTTACTGCTGTTTTGCTTGAAATTACGTTATTTTTTTGCCCACTTACGGCTTTCTCATACGTTCCGTTTTGATACAATGAAGATGGACGAATTTTGCTATTTTAGCAATTTCTGTGATTTTATCGAAAGTTGATAAGACGAATTTTCGAAGAAACTCAATTTCGAAAATTAGACACTTACTGCTCTCTTCGCTATCTTGGCAGTGTGATACCGCTGGATCGTCGCTTCTACGACCAATGACGTGGCGTGCTTTGCGATACATCGATTGATCTGCCATTTAAACCTATGGTAAAGGATCGAATAAACAGGGTGTTCCCAATGAGCACCTGATTAATCGATTCTTTACCACAGCTCCAAAAGGGAGATATTGATAATCGATCATTTACGCCTTGCTACTGTCTCTGGTGTAAGGGGGTATCTAGATATCCTCTTCACTCCTGTTCCACGTATAGCACGATGTTTTCCGTTGAATCGACGCTTTTCCATGCTTTTGTGAAATTTTGATGAGGACACACATGTCATCATGCTTAAATCCGCAGTTTTTCTAGTGGTTCATGGAATGAAAAAAGATTTCCTCTTCTTCAGCATGTTTTCTTCAAATTTTTTCATGAAATTGAATTTACATTTGGATTGCATTTTGCAAAAAGGAACTACTAGCATTACAATGATGCTAAGATTGTGCAACTTCATCCTTTGCAATAAAATTACGGAAATCATGAAAAACTATGAAATTTAGATGGTAATTTTGGTCTTAAATTTACAGTTTTTAGCTAGTAAAATAGAAACTATTAATGGACAATCGGGGTTTTCCTCCAAGACAAAAGAAGTTGCATGATCTTCGCAACATTGCAATGCTAGTGGTTCCTTTTTGCAAAATGCAATCCATTTAATTCTTGTGTATTTCAAAGGATTGATGGGAAATGATTGATTGATTGATTGGTCTAAAAATGTTTCACATGGAAACGGTTGTGCAGATTAGTGTTCAAATTTTATTGAACTTTCTGCTTGCAATACTTTCGTGCGAAGCAAATTCCTTAACATTTCCAAAGGAATCCGCACAAAAGTTCTCTTGTAAAAAATTAAATTTCCCATTTAGATTTGGCAATAGCAGATTGGTTCCTTTCTGCTGAACGCGGTCCAGGTAGTGGTACCTCATTGTAAAATGCAGTCCTTTTATCGATTGATGACGATATGTGCAAAGTTATAAAAATGCATTTTACCGAGGGTGCGTGAACATTATGTTTTTCATTATGCCATATTAGGTCATGACTTCCTTCAACCTCTCAGTCATAATATAAACCATCTATGGCTTCCAGAAAAGCGGTTATTCTAAGGTATTACACTGCCGTGCTAAGTAAAAACGCAGTGTGAGCCTTCAGGCGTTGCTAAATTTCCCCTGTCAAAGCACTAATTTTCAGGAAATGTTTTGAATATTTGTGCATCAAATTTTCAGATAATTTTGTTTGTGATTTAATCTAAAACGCCTGAAAATTTAAAAGAAATACATTCGTAATTTCTCTCAATAAATCAGAGGAGGATCCAGCATTTTGGCAACATCGGATTCCCTCCATTTAATCCTATGTAAAATAATCGATTCTTGCCGGAGCACCTGGCCCCTTCAATAATCGATACATTTCCATAGGTTTAAAGGGAGAAAAACAATGTTGTCGATTCGCTGGATCCGCCAATGCAAAAAATAAACATTTTATCGGAAGAAATTTGGCAACTCTCGAATTTTCATACGGCGTTTTTCCTCAGCACGGCAGAGTAGCCAAAGAGGAAACAATGAGTACGGTTTTTAGGGTCTCTTTTTGTGTGATCAGTCGCAAATAGACGAACCTCTTCCGAGCTCCCTTAAAATACGCAACGCCGCGTCTCCCTCCGCTTAGGTCTTCCAGCTTTATCGAGGAGATATAGCTTTCGCTTTTGCTTGAGGCTTATGCTTTTGATCATTGATTACTTCTGCCCAGTTTATGTCCCGTTTTACAGCGAAATTTGATATCCAATAAAGGAGCCTCCCACCAATCAAATCAGTTTAAGTGGGAACCGATGGCGTCGTTCATCGCTAGCTGCTGGGCTTTAGTCGGTGTTGCCGAATTTCGTGAAAAAAAGATTGCTAGAGTGTTAATGTATCGTGTGGGGAATGGAGATGTTGTATGTGTGAGGCATTTGCGATTTGACCATCGATTCTTTTGAAAAAGTTTGCGAGAAACACGATGGTGCCACTGGTTTTCTCCGAACTCAACTCCCAAGCTCAAAAAAAGCTCTCAAGTTGAGGCCAAAATGGAGGGAATATCCCACGATATCCTGAGAGTCCACCTCTACATCAAGATGAACTCCCCATGCAATGATAGGGAGCAAATACATTAGCAGGGTTGCTGTGTTTTCAGTTTTGGAGTCCCCAAATAGAGTGGCAGCCCTATCAATGTATTTGCTCCCTATCTTTGGATGGAGAGTTCATCTTGATGTAGAGGTGGACTCTCAGGATAGCGTGGGATATCCCCTCCATTTTGGCCCCATTTGAGAGCTTTCTTTGAGCTTGGAAGTTGATTTCAGAGAAAACCAGTGGTACCATCGTGTTTCTCGCAAACTTTAGCACAAGAATCAACAGTCAAATCGCAAATTTCTCACACATGCAACATCTCCATTGTGTATTACTACGCGGCAACGTTGAATTGAAAGGAGTCCCCACAACTGTCGAGGGATATGAAGATGGATCCTCACACTTAAATGAACGATTCGATTGTTTATCGGATGGTAGTGGAAATATCTTCTTTTAAATGATCAATGCACATGACGTCCGATGAAGAATGACCGTTGCAGTATAATGCTCGCTTTAAAATGCACAGCGCACACTGTGTTTGCAAAGTTTGTGATTTTATCTCGGAGGAGAATTTCCAACCGTTGATTTTTTTCCAAAATCGGAAAGAGGTACGCTGCCGTGATAGCGAAGAGAGCAGTAAGTATCGAATGTTCTAAATCGAGTTTTCTTCATAATTTGTCTTGTCTCTTTTAGATAAAATCACTGAAATAGCTGTTACTGCAAAAATCATCTTAATTGTATCAAAACGAGACATATGCACTGGAAAAAATCACATTGGATCTAGAGTCCTGACTCTTGAAAACTTTGACAAGAAAAAATACTCTTGATTCAATCAGATTTAAGCTTAAATGAAAAGGAAATACGCTCAAATTAAGAGGCTTGGTTCTTAGTTTAAGCTTAAATCTGATTGAATCAAGAGTATTTTTTCTTGTCGATGTTTTTAAGAGTCTGGACTCTAGATCCAATGTGTTTTTTTTCCAGTGTGAGAAAGTCATAAGTGCGCATAAAATAACGTAGTTTCAGGCAAGACAGTAGTAAGTGACATTGTTCCTCCAGAGAGCCAATGAAAACAGTGCTTCCAGGAAAAGTGCCAACACTCGCTAATTGCCAATACAAGTATATCGATTTGAGGGGTATGTATTGTACCAAATATAGGTGCCAGAGATAGAAATGAATCACAAGAGGACAACATAAATACAAAATCTTGAGATATGACTCACCAAAGAATATCGCGGCTCGTTCTGGTATATCGTTCCAACGATAGTCCAGTTGAAATATGACAAGAGACTAAGACGAGGTTTGTTGAAGGCGTTTTCACTAGGTACTACGCGGAAGAAATTCGGGAATTGGGCACTTGTGAACATAGGATGCGTATCCGCGTAAGACAGCTGAAACAGAAAATTAGAAAACAATTTTGTAAAATTTACAGCTTGCAGTATTCCAAAAAAAAGTAGGTGTCTGCACCTAAAACACACGGCTGTATCACGAACGCTGTAAGCATGCAGGCTTTGTTGGCGACGTTTCATACAAAAAAGAAACTTTAATTTGCCGCCAGTAAGTATTTTTTCTTAAATTTAACGTATTTCTGCCAAACGGAACTATGTGCATTATGACGTGGGACCTGTTATGCATATATTCTCATGGGTCTCAGGGCTCATGTCTTGATGCACATAGTTCCGTTTGACAGAAATACGTTCAATTAAAAGTATTGCTGCTTCATATAAACTACTTTTCTGCCTAATCGGAGCATTTTTTCTTGTTTAAAGAAAACTTCAGCTTAAATCAAGATAAAAAATTTTTAGCGGCAAATTCATGAATCATTATTTTTGAGCAAGGCACATGTTGTTTCAGTGTTGTTTTTGAGTTCATTTTCTCGAACCTTCAACGGACCTTTACTACTACTGGACAGGGTTGGATACCAAAAATCATAAAATCACATATTTTCTGATTAGAAATTCACGTAAAAAGCGATGGACAGTTAAACATTTTCAAGTGCCACTCCTAATTAAGAAAGTATAGTCTGTCATACTGATATACTAAAACTGCCGTTGTTTGTTGCCAGGTAAGAGGGACAAAAATTAGTAATGGATCATCCCTAATTCTGAAAGCGTGTTCGCCACTTATGACAAGTTAGAGAAGACGAATAGACGTAGACTTCTTCGACACGTATTCGTAAGCCTGTGTCTTACTATCAAAATACTCCATCAAAATTTCAAGGTCAAGTGCTGTGATTGGTCCAAGTCATAAAATAAGCCAATTACAACACCTTACCTTGATATTTTGATGCCTCGTTTTGATAGTGTGACACAAGCCATAGTCTTTAAAATAAACGATCGTAAAGATAAACTAAACCGCGTTTAGCAGGAAGGAACCAAGCCACATCAGCTATTGTGAAACTTACCTGGGCAATTGAATTTTTTACAAGAGAACATTTGTGCAAATACCTTTGGAAATTTTAAGGAATTTGCTTCGCACTATGCAGAAAATTCACAAAAATTTGCAAACAAATTCGCACAACCGTTTTCACGTAAAAAATTAAATTGCCCAATTAAATTCGGCAACAACTGATAAGGGCTCGGTTTCTTCCTGCTTAACGCGGTCCAAATGAAATTAAGCCTCTAAAACCTCAACATGAAGAAGCACTGGAAAAAAAACACATTGGATCTAGAGTCCGGACTCTTGAAAACATTGACAAGAGGAAATACTCTTGATTCAATCAGATTTAAGCTTAAATCAAAAAGAAAATCCGCTTAAATTAAGAGGCTTCGTTCTTGATTAAAGCAAAAATCCAATTGAATCAAGAGTAATTTTTCTTGTCGATGTTTTTCAGAGTCCGGACTCTAGATCCAATGTGTTTTTTTTTCCAGTGAGGAGAATGATTTTGTTGCATTTTGTTAATTTTGCTGCATTTTGTTTCATTTCGTTGCATTTTGATGCATCGAATCCGTCGTGCTTATCAGGATTTTCAGGCCGTTTCTTTAAAAAAAAGACCCCAATAAAACGTTTCAATGGACCCATTCTTTAAGTCATGATAGTTATTCGTTCCTCTCCATGCGGCGGCCTACCAGGTCCCCGAGACAGGGGATCAAGGTGCTTAAAATACCCGGCTCCTATAAAAAATTACATCGTGATCTCGTGGTCTGGTAATCTGGGCAGGGGCGGGTATCACTGAACTTAACCTGGCGGGAAATCCTGAACCGGAATAAATAAAACCCGAACGACATTAAAAAAAAAAATGCGCTTCAAGGATCATAAACCCCATGCTCGCGGGGACGGGGGCGCGAAATGGGGTGCGAAGGGGGGGGCGAGGGGTGGAAGGCGAGGGGGGTTGAAGCCACTTTGTTCATTCCGACAAAAGTATATTATCGGAATGTAAAAAGCTCCTCGAGGGCGGGAAACGGTCGTAAGCAGCGTTGTAATCTCCGGAAAAGATGCATTACGCCTCGTCTTCGTTTTCCGGGTGTGCTGTGTTGTCACATTGTGATTGGATCCTGATTTTTATCTGCAATATGGTGAATGGGTGCCTAAACCTTGTGTTTTTTATGTGAGGTGATTCGATGGACGCCATACTTTGTGTCAAAACGACATGCGATACATCGCATCGATTGCTTCCATTTTTTCAGCTATTCGTTATTTTTCTCCAATTTTGAGATCGCAAATCTGTAGTCAGGAGACTAAAGCACTCCCTTACCAATTTTAACGAAGAAATTCAACATAACAAAGGCGTGGTTTTTTCAGAGGGAAAACATCGCATTCGATACTGATATCGAAACTGCACTCGAATGCGATATTTTCTCTCTAAAAAAACCACGCCTTTATCATGTTGAATTTCTTCGTTAAAATTGGAAAGTGAATTCTTTAGCCTCCTGACAACAGAATTGCGATCTCAAAATTTGAAGAAAATGACGAGTAACTGAAAAATGGAAGCAATCGATGCGATGTATCGCAAGTCGTTTTGAAACAAAATATGGCGTCCATCGAATCACTTCAAATAAAAAACACAAGGTTTAGGCATCTACTCACCATATTGCTGATAAAAGTCAGGATCCAATCACAATGTGACAAGAAAGAACACGCAAAGTTTTAAAGAAAAAACTGATCAATCTTCTTGCCAGGGAGTAAAATATAATTGGAAATTTTCAAACGTTGCAATTGAGGAACTCATTTCTCCCATTTAGCCATGGATATTTTCTCACCCCGTGTGCGTGAAGGAGCTTTATTTCAGGAATTTACGACCACAGCCGGCAACTACGGGCATGGTTCTGTTTTTTCTGTCTCGAAGCTCTGACGTCACAATCGCGGCTTATTGGCCGGGTATGGCTGTCGCTCTGTCGGATGGATGTCAGCGTTCCTCGATTGTCATTTCCGAATTATATTTCGATCGGTTAGAGATACTTTTCCCGGCTTTCCCGCGGTAGCAGCGAGGGTGAGGCGCGAGATTGTCAGGTTGCGCAGTAAAACGTGAATATCTTATGTAAATTTGAATGGGGAAAAGTGCTGATTTTCAGCACCATCTGGCAACTGGGGCTGAAGAATCGTGTGACGTTCATCTCTCCGAGCGTCTTCCGCGTGTATGACTGTTTAGATACCCGCTTATGTCGCGAAAACATTCCGACTGCGCGCTGATTATTAGATTCTATAGACAAAACGATTTTAGACAAAACGATTTAGTCTTATGACAACAGAAGTGTGATCTCAAAATTCGAAAAAAATGAAAAGTATATAGCTGACATTATGGAACAAATCGATGCGATACATGGCACGTCGCTCTGACACAAAAAATGGCGTCTGTCGAATCACCTTAAGTCACAACAGCTCCGTATAAGTCCTCTTTCCGAATCAATGTCTCAAATTTTGTTCTAACATATCACTCACCTCCTACTTTTGCAACGCTTCTACTCGTTCAATAGCACTATAGGTAGCAGCTAATTTGACGATCTGCCACATTAATGCTGTCGTGATACTATCTGCGTCATCAAGCTTAAATTTCGAGGAATTATGGTGCTGAACCGACACAGCTATTTACGTCAATTCTACTTTTTTTAGAGTGGAGGGGAAAATGACGGGGTCGCTGAAAATTTCCTGGAACGCATCGAAATTTCCTCGAACGCATCAAAATTGATAATTGAATGCGAGCTTGGAAAGTGCAAATCGATTAGGGCAATCCCGACACGTACAAAAAAAGAGGAGCAAAAAACGGACAAATCTGCTCGTTGAGGGGCATATAAATTGCACAATAAGGCATCATGCCGATCATTTTCTCTTTAAACAGTGGTGAAAAGTTTATGGTGATGAAGATAGTTCTTATGGTTAGTTCCTGTCTGCATATTTTCTTCCAAACTTTACAGGTAAACTTCTTGTCAAAAAAAGAGTCTGTCAATGTACGTAAAAAGATTCTATTATTCTCAGGGGTTTTCGTCTCATTGGCCAATGATTTGCTCTCAATTAGCCGGCTATGCAAAATGACTGTCGTGGCGCACGAATAGTGATATCAGAATTTTGCATTAATGTTATGCAGAGGGTTGAAGGCGCTCTTCTGTGTCCTATCGGAGTTGCCCTTTTGAATGATGTTGACTAAAAATGTTCATAATTTTGAAGTCTTCAATCGAGTCGTATTTTTTTTTAAAAATGACCGAAGAACATTATTTTGCGTCCTAAGATTTTTTTCCTTTTGTGTAAGTCTTATTTAAAAAAGGAGAGCCCACATGCTCGTTTCAGATTGTAATTTTTAAGTCTTCTTGCTTTGGTCATCGCATTCTCTTACAAAACTGAGATAGTCGCCGTTTACAAGATCGCAACTTATTGAAAAGCGGTTTTGAATTCAATAAGTTTCGCACGGATAAAATGAGCTTTCGGCGACGAACTGTGAATAATCAAAATTGAAGAAAAGGTGCTTTATCCACTGGTCCATTTGAAATACGTAAAGCGTGAATGGATGGAGCATGGATGTCCTCCGGATTTCTACGGGCTCTGTATAACGTATATAGATGGCTATAGGTTTCTAACGGTGTTTATGCCAAAGTGTGGGGGGGGGGGATAGAGAAAAAAAAGTATTACTTATATAATTTATTGAAGGTCCAAGCAGAGACGATATATTCTAGTGACTCCGCGCTGCCTCCTTACCTATTGTGTAAGAGTTACTCATGGAAGCCAACTCTCTGATTCGCTTATTGATGACTCAGTCGCACCATACACGAAGAAAAAAACCTCGTGCGTAGGACCCGAAGTTTAGGTCATATGGATCTCTGAAGTTTTCGGATTGAGCATCTGAACACTTTAGGTCTAACTGTCGAGGTTCGGATCACACATCTAAAACTCCAGCTCTTACATCTGAAGTATTTCAGATGTGAGAACGGAAGTTTCAGATGTGTGACCCAAACCTCAGCAGCTGGACCTAAAGTATTCAGATGCTCAATCCGAAAACTTCAGAGATCCATATGACCTAAACTTCGGGTCCCACGCATAGGCGGTTCTACGGGGGTGCCAGTGGGTGCCGGGCACCCCCAAGCAAAAATTAAGTACGGTTACCGAAATCGTGAAACAGGCTTTTGGGCAAGTAAAAACGTCGAGAAGAAATCAAATTATGAATATATTTTTATTTCAGTGAATTTTTGAAATCTGCAGGTGTTCAGTATTCAATGATTATGGGCAAGGGGTGATGGGAGGAGGGGGGGATCTCGTCAAAAGTTGACTTCTGGTAGAATCATGAGGTTGATATGACAAAGATTCTACTGTTTTTTTATGGTAAGATTGTAGTTTTGATGGAAAGTTTTGTTAAAAATTTGTCTACATTGACTTTATGTATTTAAGTAGAAAGGAAGAGGAAAAAAGAGAAAGGAGGGTAGGAAAGGGATAAAACTTGAGGGCCGAAACTTAGGCCTCCCTTGAGCGACCGTCCCTTTGGAGCCGGTCTCCGACATTTTCCACCTCTGGGCACCCCCAAGCATGAAGGTCTAGAACCGCCTATGGTCCCACGCACGAAGTTTTTTTCTCCGTGTATTAAGGTATACACACCATCACTGAGGTATATGTGCTAGTTGTTAATCGTCGTAAATTAAGTAACTAACTAAGTATAATACGTTGCTTTACTACTATCAGTGGTGTTCCATATGAACCACTAATTGCTTTATAAGGCGTAGCTTTTTCCCACTGTGCCTCTTTCAAAAGCCCCTTTTGGAGTAATTTGCTTTACCCATCTTTATTTCAATTTGTAATTCCTTTAAAACGACTAATTGCAGTTAGCCGGTATTTTCATCAGCNAAAAGTATTACTTATATAATTTATTGAAGGTCCAAGCAGAGACGATATATTCTAGTGACTCCGCGCTGCCTCCTTACCTATTGTGTAAGAGTTACTCATGGAAGCCAACTCTCTGATTCGCTTATTGATGACTCAGTCGCACCATACACGAAGAAAAAAACCTCGTGCGTAGGACCCGAAGTTTAGGTCATATGGATCTCTGAAGTTTTCGGATTGAGCATCTGAACACTTTAGGTCTAACTGTCGAGGTTCGGATCACACATCTAAAACTCCAGCTCTTACATCTGAAGTATTTCAGATGTGAGAACGGAAGTTTCAGATGTGTGACCCAAACCTCAGCAGCTGGACCTAAAGTATTCAGATGCTCAATCCGAAAACTTCAGAGATCCATATGACCTAAACTTCGGGTCCCACGCATAGGCGGTTCTACGGGGGTGCCAGTGGGTGCCGGGCACCCCCAAGCAAAAATTAAGTACGGTTACCGAAATCGTGAAACAGGCTTTTGGGCAAGTAAAAACGTCGAGAAGAAATCAAATTATGAATATATTTTTATTTCATGAATTTTTGAAATCTGCAGGTGTTCAGTATTCAATGATTATGGGCAAGGGGTGATGGGAGGAGGGGGGGATCTCGTCAAAAGTTGACTTCTGGTAAATCATGAGGTTGATATGACAAAGATTCTACTGTTTTTTTATGGTAAGATTGTAGTTTTGATGGAAAGTTTTGTTAAAAATTTTCTACATTGACTTTATGTATTTAAGTAGAAAGGAAGAAGGAAAAAAGAGAAAGGAGGGTAGGAAAGGGATAAAACTTGAGGGCCGAAACTTAGGCCTCCCTTGAGCGACCGTCTCCTTTGGAGCCGGTCTCCGACATTTTCCACCTCTGGGCACCCCCAAGCATGAAGGTCTAGAACCGCCTATGGTCCCACGCACGAAGTTTTTTTCTCCGTGTATTAAGGTATACACACCATCACTGAGGTATATGGGCTAGTTGTTAATCGTCGTAAATTAAGTAACTAACTAAGTATAATACGTTGCCTTTACTACTATCAGTGGTGTTCCATATGAACCACTAATTGCTTTATAAGGCGTAGCTTTTTCCCACTGTGCCTCTTTCAAAAGCCCCTTNGTTGTTCACCAAAAATAACATCAAAAATGAATTTTACGCGAAAAATTACATGAGATATGTGGTACATAATCGATCAAATGACCAGGAATATTCGTTATCCTCGTAACATTGGAAGCGCAACGCTCCATGACCGACCTCTCCCATTGACTCGATCCACCGTGCGGCTATGCAAAATGACTGTCGTGGCGCACGAATAGTGATATCAGAATTTCGCATTAATGTTATGCAGAGGGTTGAAGGCGCTCTTCTGTGTCCTATCGGAGTTGCCCTTTTGAATGATGTTGACCAAAAATGTTCATAATTTTGAAGTCTTCAATCGAGTCGTAATTGTGAAAAATGACCGAAGAACATTATTTTGCGTCCTAAGATTTTTTTTCCTTTTGTGTAAGTCTTATTTAAAAAAGGAGAGCCCACATGTTCGTTTCAGATTGTAATTTTTAAGTCTTCTTGCTTTGGTCATCGCATTCTCTTACACAACTGAGATAGTCGCCGTTTACAAGATCGCAACTTATTGAAAAGCGGTTTTGAATTCAATAAGTTTCGCACGGATAAAATGAGCTTTCGGCGACGAACTGTGAATAATCAAAATTGAGGAAAAGGTGCTTTATCCACTGGTCCATTTGAAATACGTAAAGCGTGAATGGATGGAGCATGGATGTCCTCCGGATTTCTACGGACTCTATATAACGTATATAGATGGCTATAGGTTTCTAACGGTGTTTATGCCAAAGTGTGGGGGGGGGGNNNGGGGGGGGGGATAGAGAAAAAAAAGTATTACCTATATAATTTATTGAAGGTCCAAGCAGAGACGATATATTCTAGTGACTCCGCACTGCCTCCTTACCTATTGTGTAAGAGTTACTCATGGAAGCCAACTCTCTGATTCGCTTATTGATGACTCAGTCGCACCATACACGAAGAAAAAAACCTCGTAAGTAGGACCCGAAGTTTAGGTCATATGGATCTCTGAAGTTTTCGGATTGAGCATCTGAACACTTTAGGTCTAACTGTCGAGGTTCGGATCACACATCTAAAACTCCAGCTCTTACATCTGAAGTATTTCAGATGTGAGAACGGAAGTTTCAGATGTGTGACCCAAACCTCAGCAGCTGGACCTAAAGTATTCAGATGCTCAATCCGAAAACTTCAGAGATCCATATGACCTAAACTTCGGGTCCCACGCACGAAGTTTTTTTCTCCGTGTATTAAGGTATACACACCATCACTGAGGTATATGTGCTAGTTGTTAATCGTCGTAAATGAAGTAACTAACTAACTATAATACGTTGCCTTTACTACTATCAGTGGTGTTCCATATGAACCACTAATTGCTTTATAAGGCGTAGCTTTTTCCCACTGTGCCTCTTTCAAAAGCCCCTTTTGGAGTAATTTGCTTTACCCATCTTCATTTCAATTTGTAATTCCTTTAAAACGACTAATTGCAGTTGGCCGGTATTTTCATCAGCGGACCATACCTTTTACATGGGTCGGAGACGAACCTATTTTCTAAAGATGGCCTACACGATGAAAACTTACAAGAAATCAATGTCAACTTTGGCGGCTTTGACCGACCATTCTCGCCAAATCCTCAACAAGAAATTCCCCTACATGTGGACAGCCTTAGCCTTGTTGTCCGATCTTTAGCACCGAGTCCTCGCCGAAGATCGGCCCGTAATGGCAAGGCCCTTAGTCGCCGTGTCGGAACTCCTACAGCAACTCCCCACCGAAAAAGGACCCTGAACGGCAAGGGCATCGGCCGCCTTGTTGGGCCTTTTACGCCCGCTTCCTACGAAAGAAAGACCCCGAAAAGTAAGGCTATTGGTCGTTCCCGATCTTCATCGCCAAGTCCTCGCCGAAGACCGACCCTCAATGGTGAGGACCTTAGTCGCCGTGTCGGAGCTCCTACATCAACTCCCCACCGAAAAATGACCCTGAACGGCGAGGACCTCGGCCGTCCTGTTGGACCGTTCACGCCGGATTCTCACCAAATGGCCCTGAATAATGAAGACCTCGGCCTCCTTGTTGGGCCGTTCACGCCCGATTCTTACGAAAGAAAGGCCCCGAGAAGCGAGGCTATCGGCCGTTCTCGATCTTCATCGCCAAGTCCTCACCGAGGAGCAACCCTCAATGGCGAGGACCTTGGTCTCCTTCTTGGACCTTCTTCAGCAACTCCCAACCGAAAAGCGACCCATAATGATGAGGACCTTGGTCGCCTTCTTGGACCTTCTTCAGCAACTCCCAACCGAAAAGCGACCCATAATGATGAGGACCTTGGACGCCTTGTCGGACCTTCAACCCCAACTCCCCGACGAAGAATGACCCCATTTGACAAGGATGGCTTTGTCGTCCGATCGTCTACTCCGAGTCCCCACCGAAGAGAGACCTTCAATGGCGAGGGCCATGGCCGTCTTCCTCCCACACCAAGACCCTACCGAAGACCATCGCCGAGTCCCTACCGAAGAGCAAATCAGAATGGAAGAAACCTTGGCCACTCTGTTGGATCTCCTGCACCGACCTCCTACCGAGGAGAGATGCATGTGTGAGGAATTCGCGATTTGATTACGCGATTACTACGATTGATATTGAATCCTAACCTAACCTAACCTAACCTAACCTAACCTAACCTAACCTAACCTAACCTAACCTAACCTCGATAACCCAAGCTCAAAAAAAGCTCTCAAGTTGAGGCCAACACGGAGGGGATATCCCACGCTATCCTGAGAGTCCACCTCTACGTCAAGACGATCTCTCCATGCAAAGATAGAAAGCAAATACATCAACGGGCTACCACTTTATTTGGGGACTCTAAAACTGAAAACACGGCATCCTTGCTAATGTAATTGCTCCCTATCTTTGCATCGAGAGTTTGTCTTGATGTAGAGGTGGACTCTCAGGATAGCGTGGGATATCTCCTCCATTTTGGCCTCAACTTGAGAGCTTTCTTTGAGCTTGGGGGTTGCTTTCAGAGAAAACCAGTGGCACCATCGAGTTTCTCGCAAACTTTTACATAAGAATCATTAGTCAAATCGCAAATTCTTCACACATGCAACATCTCCATTAGTACTGTGATTCAATCTCGATCTAACACCATTGGCGTGTCCAGCAAATTGGCAAAATATTTTTTCTCTATTTAAACCTATGGAAATGTATCGATTTTTGGAGGTTCCAGTTTCTCCGATTTAAATCGATTATTTAACGTAGGTTTGAATGGAGGGAATCCGGTGTTGCCAAATTGCTGGACCCGCTTCTGTGTGACATCGAGTCGGAAATCAACATAGATCTTGGCCCGATTCATGACGATCGTTGAAATTAATACGGACAAAGCCTGAATTCATTCACGAAAAGATATATGCGCGATAAAGGGATGAAATGTAAATAAAAAGGGTAAAAGACGGAGAAGGAGAAATAAAAAAAATGTCGATACCGTATTCCGCACAGTAAAATTAATTTCAGGTTTTGGTAACTTGTTTGTGACCCATGAGTGCAGATGTGTCACTCATTACTCATATCCGTAATTGCCATACTTTAAAAAATCTTGGGGCTAACTCAAATCACATTGGATCTAGAGTCCAGACTCTTGAAAACATTAATTGATAAGAGAAAATACTCTTGATTCAATCGGATTTTTGCTTGAATCAAAATGAAATCCGCTTAAATTAAGAGGCTTGGTTCTTGATTTTAGCTAGATTCTGATTGAATCTGGAGTACTTTTTCTTGTCGATGTTTTTAAGAGTCTGGACTCTAGATCCAATGTCTGTTTTTTCCAGCGTAGTGAATTTCTACTTCAAACGACAACGGCGATTGTAACTCTACTAATAACCCTCCAATAATTTTCCGATAACCCGGCCATTGATCTACACAGTCTTATGCAAGCGGTAATACTGAACGGTATTGCGGGTTGCTCGGCCGACGATCCAGGCGCTATCGGGCGCTCAGACGTGACACGGTGACGAAAGAGCTTGACGGAGCAACAGAGTTGCCTCGCGCCACGAAAATTAGCATATTCCAAACGGGCTAAAGTCGTAAAATATTTTATTCCCGGAAAAATCTGGCAATCTGGGCTGGGGCATAGCTGCGCACCTCATCTATAAATTAGCGTCCTCCTTGTTATTGCCTCGATGACGTCACATTCAGGATTGATGAAATATGGCTTCCGCATCGCGTCGGTGAAGGATTGCTGCTACGTTTCATGGGGATTCCGCCGTGGAATCTCGCCGCGAGGAGAAAAATGGGCCACTAGACACGGTCAGAATCAAAGCGTCATGAGATGTATTCCATCATCAAAGTTTCATGCGAAACACGTTGAGCACATTCAATTCTTCCAGGGCGCCTGGATTCTCAGTCGAGCAACACGCAGTACAGTGTAGTTTTGGCGTTCGCGTTAGACCATACACTGGAAAAAAAAACACATTGGATCTAGAGTCCAGACTCTTAAAAACATCGACAAGAAAAAATACTCTTCATTCAATCAGATTTAAGCTTAATTCAAGAACCAAGCCTCTTAATTTGAGCGGATTTCCTTTTGATTTAAGCTTAAATCTGATTGAATCAAGAGTCCTTTTTCTTGTCAATGTTTTCAAGAGTCTGGACTCTAGATCCAATGTGTTTTTTTCCCAGTGTATCCAAAAAATTAGAGCGAGAGTTCAAGTCATCTTTAACCGATGGAGAAGAACTAGTTAGGATTCTAAATTTTTTTGTCAATCTGATCGGACGGCCGCCATATTTTAGGGCCGAACGACATGTGCTCGAACAGCATCAGTTAGCTCCAGGTTTTTGGCTACTCGAAATTTTGATCGAATTTTGAGCTCGCATTTCTGTTGTCACGAAGTATAGAATTCACTCAAAAAATTTGACGAACAAATTCAACGTGATAAAGGCAGTGTTTGTCAGAGTAAAAATATAGCATTCGATATCAGTATCGAATGCAACAATTCTCCTCCGAAAAAAAACCCAAGCCTGTATTAAGGTGATTCGATGGACGCCATATTTTGCGTCAGAGCGACGTGCGATATATAGCATCAATTCGTTCCATAATTTCAGCTAATTGCCATTTCTTTTCGAATTTTGAAATCACACCTCTGTTTTCATGAGAGTAAAGAATTCATGTACCTAATTTGACAAAGAAATTCAACGTAATTTGAGAATTTGATTGTAATAAATTTTGATCGAATTTTAAAGTCGCATTTACGTTGTCACGAGAGTAAAGAATTCACTCACAAAATTTGACGAACAAATTCAACGTGATAAAGGCAGGATTTTTCAGAGGAAAAATATAGCATTCGATATCAGTATCGACTGCACCAATTCTCCTCCCAAAAAAAACCCCTGCCTTTATTAAGGTGATTCGATGGACACCATATTTTATGTCAGAGCGACGTGCGATTTATCGCATCAATTCGTTCCATAATTTCAGCTACTTATCATTTTTTTTCGAATTTTGAGATCACACCTCTGTTTTCATGAGACTAAAGAATTCATGTACCTAATTTGACAAATAAATTCAACGTAATAAAGGCAGGGTTTTTTTAATCCGTTTACTCTCGTGCCTAAGATAATATTTGAATACGGGGTGATTAATAATAAGAGGGTTGATGAGACCGGAAGCGACTTGGGTGCAAAATTATAATCAAATCCTCCGACATGTGTTGCTGAAGCAGATCTTTCCTAAGCCGAAGAGCCCTGAAGCTACCTACAGTACTCCTCCCTAAATTACATGCGTTCGTTGCAGGATCTCTCAAATAGACGGGCCCCTAATCAAAAGTGCATAGTTGTGCCTTCGAACAGTTATTCATCGTTAACAAGCCTGCGTGTCGGTTCTCGTAAATACTCACCTTTAATGAGAATTAACATGAAAGACGAGGGCGATTCTAATTTCAATTTGGCGGTGACGTGAAGTATCACATTAAGGTAATTCAGTAACCACAAGGCAGAGTGTTGGATGAGATTTGCGTCTCTTCGCAATTGTTAGTTTACAGGATTGAGGCCTCGTTCACACGATCGTAGTTTGGGCAAATTAGTCCCACGAACCGGGCAAGGCCGGATCCAGAAATTTGGCAACATCGGAATTCCTCCATTGAAACCTATGTTAAATAATCGATTATGTTATAGCATACTGCACAATTTTTCTAACACCTTTTCCGATACAAATTAAAAACATTTCAATAACAGATTAAACTTAAATGGCTTACTTTATTCTTGACGCATGATGGCCATTTTGTGCGGGCCGCTTATCTTCAGGTGACTGAAACGGGTGCGGAAAAGTTAAAAGTTCGGCGTAAAGAATGAAAAGTAAGTCGTTTTAGTATGATCGGTTTTTGAAATTTTTTTAATTTTTACCGAACAAAATAATCGATTCTTGTCAGAAAATCTGGGTCAATTATAGAGCAGATTCCTTTGCTTAGATTAAACTACCGCCAATTTTTTTAAGTTTGAAGATTTTCTTTTACTACTTTAATTATAATTATTCTAATAATAGGGTATCTAATTCTAGTTTTCAACAAAACTTTAAATTTGTATTGATAAGATTTTTTTTAAATTTTAAAAATTTTACATATTTACAATTGGTTTTACTGATATCTTTAATAGGCAATGCCGGCAAAAATTGCTATCTTAAAATTTGGAAAACAATTCAAACGAAATGGCAACTCCTCAAATTAAAATTTTTGAGAAGGGGAAAGTGGTTGACTCCTTTATGTCCTTGCAAAAAGGGTCCTCCAAATTCATCCATAAAATGGCCGACGCCGCCGATTGTAGTGTAAAATACGAGACGCGAAGCGGATTAGTGAGTGAGACACCAGGAAATATCAGCACCCGGGGCTGGTATAAGACGAACACCGTCGCATTTCTTCCAGAAACTCGAACCTATACCAACCGACAGGAAAGGTCTCAGAGCATCCGGCCCAACTCGACAATGTCGCTAATAGCTGCGTAATTGGAATAAAATTTAGAGCTGCTTGCGGTAATATTCATAAGCTTTCAGCACTTACGTGTTCCCACCGCTTTGTGCGCTGAAATGGGGCCCGCCGGCGGGCATTGTTTCAGATTATTTCGCTTTCCTCCAAAATCGGGCGGGAGTACGTGGAATTTTGCATTGAATTTCGCGATCTTGCGTAGCATGATTGCCAGGTACTGGTGGGAATCACATAATTTTTCCGTATTGATTGCGGAGAATGGAGATGTTGCATGTGTGAGGGATTTGCGATTTGACCATTGATTCTTACGTAAAAGTTCGCGAGAAACACGATGGTGCCACTGGTTTTCTCTGAAATCATCTCCCAAGCTCAAAAAAAGCTCTCAAAGTGAGGCCAAAATGGAGAGGATATCCCGTCCTACCCTGAGAGTCTACCTCTACATCAAAACAAACTCTCCATGCAAAGATAGGGAGCAAATACATTGACAGGGTTGCCGTGTTTTCAGTTTTAGAGTCCCCGAATAAAGTGGCAGCCCTGTCAATGTATTTGCTCCCTATCTTTGTATGGAGAGTTTGTTTTGATGTAGAGGTGGACTCTCAGGGTAGGGTATATCCCCTCCATTTTGGCCTCACTTTGAGAGCTTTTTTTGAGCTTGGAAGTTGATTTCAGAGAAAACCAGTGGCACCCTCGTTTTTCTCGCCAACTTTTACATGAGAAACAGCAGTCAAATCGCAAATCCCTCACACATGCAACATCTCCATTTTTCCGTATTGATTGCGG